GGCGTCCAAGAAGTTTTTTTTTTTTTTTTTATTTGGTTAGGCTTCATTCCTGATGTATAAGATGGATAGAATATCCTGAATGGATTGTGACATACTATGGCATTTGACTCGATGAATCTCATTAAGGTGTGAGCATGTCTCACAGAGCTTGCGACTTGTTCTTTGAAGACGAACCATGGTCGGCTGAGATGTGGGTCATTTGACTCCGAATGAAGAAGTTGCAATGTTTCAAGGAATTTTCTCCTCTCTTCATGACTGGTGGACGCTATAGCCTCTGCCAGTGACATGCAAGGTTTCAGCAACATGGATGTGTAGTAAAACGAAAAGAGCCCTTTTCCACTTACCTAAGATATGATCTGGTTTCCTAGGAAGCCAGAACTTCGCAGGTTCCCTACGGTCAAAATTCCACTCTCTGCTCCCTTCCTCCTTTGAGATATCGATATACTCAGTCCAGGGGGGAAGTGGAATCTCATTTCTTGCAAGGTCGCCAAGTGCCTCGTCAAATTCTTGCTTCATAGCTTGATCAGCCTCGGTGTTCAATACAATGCCTGGACACCCCCTGCGAGTCAATAACATACTCCTAGTTCAAGTTTCCTTTGAGAAATTTTTATCCACTTACCTTGCTTGGTAGCATCCAAACATTTCGTATATACTGTGATGAAATATTCCAGAACGCAACGAGGGTTAGCCCGGCTCCCCTGGAGGAAGCTCGCAAACAATAAGAAGTTAGTGTTATGATTGCTTACCGTAACCAAACTTCATCGTCAGTGGATGACTTATCCCGAACAAGTATTCACAGCTGTTTCATCGAATTTTTTGTAATTTTGAATGATAGGGCGGTCACGGAAAGCTCACACTATCAGGAAAGAATCATGACATGACTTACACTCTGTACATCCGTGAATAACGACCAAAAGCTACTGGCTGAAAGATTGAGACAAGTTGAGCTCGGCGAAACTCTCGCTCGTAGGTACCGTTCATGGCTTTCAAATTACGGAAGTCCTCCACTCTCATCGTGGGCAGACTTGCACCTCTCCCACTCGCTGCCAAAGCGACAGTATCTACATTCGGATCCAGTCGCATTAAGACCCTCTCAATTCTAAAAACAAATAAATGTATTCAAACCATACGTACCGGAGAAGTAGTGGTTGTATTCTTCCATTGGAGGAACTTCCTTTGAGTCATCCGCATTGATGAAGTTTTCGGTGAACGCATCATCCCAAATCACGATAACCACATCCCCTGAAAAATACACCAAATCGGAAGAGATACGTGAACAGAGAACATTAGGCTTCTATTCAATCTCAAGTTGTGAATTCTTACCATCGTAATCGCCTGGAAAATTGTAAGTCATGGATCCAGGAAAGGAAGTCAGCTGTTGTTGCCTTGATAGATTATTTGATTCTGAATCACTCACCTCCAGAGAGGTAATCCAGGAGAGACTTTTGGCCCTGAATTGAGCACACTAAAACGTCCTCGTAGCACATCAACCGCGAATTCGAAACAGCAGTCACTTTCCTGACGTCCGTTGGCTTTCAGATTCAGAATTTTTAGAGAGAGAAATGGTTAATGATGAAGTTGA